AAGGCATTTGTATCATCGGCATATAAGACGAAAGAAAGAATTTTACTGCAGTTTTCAATGTCATTAATGTATATTAGAAATAGTAGTGGTCCAAGAATATTCCCAAGAATATTCCTAATATTCCCACATATTCCCACTATATAAAAACGCCCCAGATTTATTATTTGTACCTGATTACAAAGAAGATGAAAATAACATAGTAATTTGAATATACTGTGTATGAGCGACACAATGCTTATTAAATAAAATACAATATAACAAAAAGTGAAATAGAAATGAGCGATTTTCACACTCTCTTTTTTCTCCACCCCCCTGAAACCCGGGGGGGGGGAGGCAAATGGGGGGACCATTAATACTTCTAGAATAATTTTAATTTGTGGCATCTGTCAAACAATCAATGCAACGGATTGTTTCGAAAGTTATTGGAAGTAATACCAGGGGATTTGCTTTGGTGAGTATTGTCCTATATTTTGAATAAAATATTCTCACTTTCAGTTTAATTTCGCTTTCGAGTTTGAGTTCATTGTTTTTTTAAACGATCTGTTTCGTATCAAGTATTTGATATATTTCGACAAGTTTTTGCTGGGTATCGTCTTCGTAATTGGCATTTTAATAGGAACTTCACTTCCGTAAGGTGTTTTATATGAAATTTATTTTATTGAGGGGCTTTGTATTTTGGAATTATTTGTACATTTATACTGACCTTCATATTTTTTATATTTTGTATATTAAACTATCATTAAAGTATCAATCTGTTTGACAGCTGGGATTTAATTTTTACTTTGTAACTTAGAGCTGCGTTCAGTTGCCACGTTGCCACATATTATAAATGTCAAAATGAGCAAACTCTTTATTTGGAATTATTACTATATACATTGATCATGTGTAGATGTTCATTTAGCTTTTCAAGGGGTATTTTAAATTAATCCATGCTAAAAACTAAGGCCTTGGAACTGGTTTCATATCCTCAAACAAATAGGGTCAGTTAGGACATTTACATTTGACATTCGTCAGCATGCTATGCCACCATTGGGTCGTGAGTGTGATCAGTTGGCATTTGCCACAACCCATAAACATTTCAAGAAGCGATGATTGAGGCAACAGATTCCATGTAGCCACAACAAAAAAATATGGTCGGTGGGTAGGCCAACAACCCAACCACATCCCAATAAACAACATTAGGGTCAGCAGAAAAGAACTTAAGAGGCTTGGCCAGCACATGTGGAGTCGATCTTTACACACGTAAAAACGCACAAGTTGTTACAAATCTGTTCACAAGCTGTCGACAAGTTGTGTTCGCACTGCTTGTTCCCAGTTGTTGTAACAAGTTTGGGACAAGCTGTTAACAACTTGTGACAAGCTTGGTGGCATTATCAGACTTGTTACAAGGTTGTTCTAACAAGTCTGATACAGTCATGATAACAACTTGTGACAATTAAGCTTGGTGGCATTATCAGACTTGTTACAAGGTTGTTCTAACAAGTCTGATACAGTCATGATATAACAAGAATGTTACAATGTTGACGACACAAGGTTGTAGCAATACTGCTATATCATAACTGTATCGGACTTGTTGGAACAACCTTGCAACAAGTCTGACATTATCAACAAGGTTGTTACAAGTTGTTAACTGCTTGTTCCAAACCTGTTGACAACTTGGGACAAGCAGTGTGAACACAACTTGTTGACGGCTTGTTGGCAGGCTAATGCTACAAAATGTGAGATTTTTGCATGTGTGGGGAGAACAGTTGAGAAGTTATAGAGGTAGATCTGGTAGAAATTAACACTTAGTTTAGTTTATGTTTCCTCCTATCGTAACACTGGATCAATAAGAGATGATCCTCACTGAACCTCTAGGAAGAACAGTTTAGAACTGATAGAGCTATCCAGTATAAATAAAGTTAGTTTGGTTTAGGTTTCCTCCTGCAGTAACACTGGTTCAATAAGAGATGATCCTCACTGAACCTCTAGGAAGAACAGTTTAGAACTGATAGAGCTATCCAGTATAAATAAAGTTAGTTTGGTTTAGGTTTCCTCCTGCAGTAACACTGGTTCAATAAGAGATGAACCTCACTGAACCTCTAGGAAGAACAGTTTAGAACTGATAGAACTATCCAGTATAAATAAAGTTAGTTTGGTTTAGGTTTCCTCCTGCAGTAACACTGGATCAGTAAGAGATGATCCTCACTGAACCTCTAGGAAGAACAGTTTAGAACTGATAGAACTATCCAGTATAAATAAAGTTAGTTTAGTTTAGCTAGGTCACATACCTCGTGTAGTAACACTGGATCAATAAGAGATGAATATTACTAGACCTCTGGGGAGAACAGTTTAGAACTGATAGAGCTATCCAATATTGGTTATAAGCTTTATTTATCAGGGCACAAATGCTGGCACTCAATGGGTTAAAAGATTAAATGATGGGGATTGAAGTGTTGAACAAGTCTATGAGGAAATGAACAAATAATAAAAAAAATGAACAAACAATATATGACAAAAATGACACCTACATGTAGTTCATACCACTGCCTACATGTGTATGATTTTGAATGCCATTATAAATGCCATTCCATGCATTATAAATACCATCCCATATTTAATATTATTTTATTGTTTTATTATAAAGTAGCATATGATGTTGAATTCAAAACTTCTGGTTATTTCTGGACCAAGTGGTTCTGGCAAGTCAACATTGCTAAAGAAATTGTTTAAAGAATATCCAAATAAATGCGGATTTTCTGTTTCTCGTGAGTACCTGATGATTATATAATCTTTGACTGATGTAATAGTCATTCTTTCATGAATTGTTGGAACAACATTACAACAAGAATGATTAAATAACTGTATGACAATAATTGGAAAGCTTTGGATTGATAGAGATGCAACTACCTGAAAAATACAAGGAGAACATCGATGTTTTGAGCGAAGGCCCTTCGTCGGGACGTCAACACATGAAGCTTTCTTATTATTGGTACCTACAATAGCCAGTTGAAGATGACAATAACTGGCACAATAATATAAGATTTAATAAAAGGAGTCGTTCTCTGACCAAAAAAAAATTTATTTTGACAAGCTTTTGACCTTGTCAAAATAATTTTTTTTTGTCAGAGAACGACTTCTATTATGCCTTTACCTGATCATGTTTCATCCATGTTTATTATATTTAAGTTGGGTAACTACATTTTTGTGTGTTTTAGATACAACCCGTAATCCTAGACCTGGTGAGGTTGATGGAAAAGGTCAGTTGACAAACAGACAGCTAGACTGTGACAGATAGACCAACATACAGACAAACAGACAGGTAGACTATGACAGACAGATATGCAGGCAGACACACAAACAGACAGCTAGACTGAGACTGACAGACAGACTGACATACAGACATACAGACAGTTAGATTGAGACTGACAGACACATCAACATACAGACAAACAGACAGGTAGACTGACATACAGACAGTTAGATTGAGACTGACAGACACATCAACATACAGACAAACAGACAGGTAGACTGTGACAGACACATCAACATACAGACAAACAGACAGGTAGACTGTGACAGACAGATATGCAGGCAGACAGACAAACAGACAGACAGACAGCTAGATTGAGACAGATGGACTGACACAGACACTGTCAGGGACTGAGATGGACAGACAGACAAACAGACATGCTGATGAAAATTAAATCATATGAAACACAAACAAAAAGTTGCTTGACAAACCTTGATAGTTTTATGGGGCAAAAACAAAATATTTTAATTTCTATAAAATACAGATTACTATTTTTTCAAACGTGATGTAATGGAAAAAGCAATAGCAAATGGTGAATTTCTGGAACATGCAGAATATTCAAGGAACCTGTATGGAACCAGGTATATAAACAATGATTTATTTTGTCATGACTCTGAAATATTATGTGAATCATTCACTGAAAAAGCTGTTGTTTCTTTGCAGCAAGAAAGCTGTAAAAGATGTAACTGATCAAGGCAAAATTTGTATTTTAGATGTTGATAGACAGGTATCGAACTCTTTTGTACTGAATTATTTGGAGTCATTAGTCATGCATACACCTGGCTTTTCAAATTTTGATTAGCAATGAAATTATGTCTCTGCTACTGAAATGTAATCAACTAGCAGGGCAAGTTTTGATGCATCCAGCAAATTCGCTCCCTTTGTCTTTGTTATGGCAATTTAAACCTTGCCCGCGTGGCAGGCTAATTTAAACCTTGCCCGTGTGGCAGGCTAATTTAAACCTTGCTATTGTTTTCAGGGTGTATTAAATGTGAAGAGCACAAATATAAACAGTTTCTTCTTGTTTGTAAAACCACCTTCAATGGATGAACTCGTAAGTCTAACTTTTATGACCATCACTTGTAGTGCCGTGGTGGATTTAATTCTTGGTTGGACCTCTACTCAAGGTCTTAAAATAATTGAGGAGAAAGTGTTACCTTTACATTAAACATCAGTAAATGGTTAGACTTTCACATCTTCTCGGATAAGGACGTTAAAATCGTACGTTCTTTATTTCATAAACAGGAGGAGAGGTTACGGAATCGTGGAACAGAAACGGAGGAATCCCTACAGAGGCGGCTTAACATCGCTAGATTCGACATGGAGTATGGTATGGAGGGGTTTTTATTATACATTGGTTCACTGAAAAGTGGGGGCTTAACCCCCCCACAATAATAATAATACACACACACACACACACACACACACACACACACCCGCCGCCATGTCCCTGATGAAAATACTGTCAGTAGTAAATGAAAATCTATATTTGTTGAATTATTTTCCAATTGAAACAATTTTTTTCAGCTGACAAGCCAGATTCTTATGACTGTATTGTGGTGAACGATGTTTTGGAAGAATCTTATATAAAATTCAAGGAAGTCATCAACAGGGTACATATATCGATAGCTTATTCTTTTTATCGTCATATAAGCTCAATGACATATTTAATCCGGGAGAATTTTTAACATGCATTATTATTTTTCTTAGGAAATCTGTCCACTGGAATGAAATTCATCTCATTCAATTCAAGACGTATACATATATATATAATAGTTCGTAGAACGTGCTCGGGTGGAAATCATAATGGACCACGCCAATTTTATAGACAAAATTTCAGCAATAATTTGGGTTTTACAAATGTTGTTTTATCTCGGATATATCGTGTATGGCATTGAATTTACAGAACTGACATTGTGATACCTCACAGGAATACCTTGCATGTGGCATATAGTCTATCAAGGTATGATGGTCTGGAAACTATAAATATAAGTCATTGTTTGATGCTTTTCTGGAAACTATAAATATAAGTCATTGTTTGATGCTTTTTTCATTGTTTGATGTTTTTTTCATTGTTTGATGTGCACCGGCGGTCATGCACAGTGATTGGGCTCATTGTACTTTCATCTAATGAAGTAATTGTCCAATGGGGATAGCTGAGCACCGGCGGTCATGCACAGTGATTGGGCTCATTGTACTTTCATCTAATGAAGTAATTGTCCAATGGGGATAGCTGAGATGAAACGTGCAACCACGATGAATAATATTTAAGAGGCAATTTTTTTTCAATATCACGTATTTGCAATGAAAAGTGTTCAAAACCTAAAATCTTTTTGGCGTCCCTCTCAAAATTACTTTGTTTTAGCTTTATTCTCTAGTTTATACAGTTAGCTACCTTTTTGAGAAACATAAATTAATAGTTAAAAATTCGTAATTTAAACACAATTATCAATGCTTTAAAATTGGTGCCATATTTATAGTCATATAAGCAAAACTTACTGAACTTCAGACGTCATTTTCTCTTTGGCGTATCATCTAAAATCTCTTCATTTTAGCATTATTTTACAGATAAAGCACTAAACATACTTTTTAAGTTTGTTTGCCGATTGAGAAACATATCGAAAAATAAAAATTTTGAATTTAGTCATAACCTCAAGTGATATATTATACGCATTAGTTTTGAGCGCGTGTTACGTAACATACAAAAAATCTCCACAAAGGATTTATGCATTAGGCGAGGTGCAGTTCAATATTAAACAAAGCTGTTTTGTTGCTTTGAAGTTTGCCAGAATTCCAGACCATTCTATCTTGACAGGCTATGCATGTGGCTTGCAATGTACCTTGTGGTCTCTATTTTCCATCCTTCAGAACGTGGCCAACGCCTTCATATTTAAGAATTTAAATGTAGTACTATTTTATGCTGTATAATTTTAATATTTAGTTATTCTGCCATCATCCTATGAATAATTTGAGAAAACATGGTTGGTTGGAACTACTACAAGTGCTGTATAAGTTTTATATATTTAAAACACGTGTGCTTTATCAGATATAAACACGAGGCGATAGGCAAGTGTTTTATTTATTTATTTAACTTTACACGTTACAGCTTTCGACAATTACAGCGTTCTAGTCGGACAGATAAAAGGAATTTGTGGGACAATTCCATTTTGCCTTCATATTGTGCCCTGAAAGCTAGTTAGTGCGTTTCTGTATGTTGGCCGCGTTAAAATTTCTTGTGGGCTCCTGCCGACACGTTTTTCTTCGAATGTTGTATTAAACTCTATTACAGTTAAAAAGTGTGAAATTTCAAATACATTTCTAATACAAATGACTTACATCATTTTAAACCTTGCAAAAAACTACATATAAGACATTTAAACGGTTACACGGGTTTTTCAAGTTCTTCTTGAGTTATGAGCTGTTGAATGCGTGTTTTCAGACTAGTACCCAGGAATTATGCGAGATTTTGGCTTATTTTTCACATTTGAAACGGCAATAACTCGAAAACCGCTTGAAAATTCCAACTAACCATTTAAATGTCTTATATGTAGTTTCTTGTTAGCTTTCTATTGATGCAAGTCATTTGTAGTAGAAATGTATCAGAAATTTCATATTTTTTAACTGTAATAGAGTTTAATACAAAATTCGGTAGGAGCCCACAAGAAATTTTAACGCGGCCAACATACAGAAACGTACTTATTAGGCAAAATGGAATTTTGGTCCTCTATCTGCCTGACTATTCCTATACATCATTACAGCGGTCCTGTAATTGGCGAAGTTTATGTCTGATAAAGGATAAAGCACGGAATTCATACCGCATGCGAGTGTTTTAAATGGCTTAAGAAACAGCCCATCTTATGAATTTATTGGCGAAGAAATTTTAAAAATCAACCTTGTCCAAGCCGAGAAAATCAAAGCTGAAGTTTATGTAAATTTTTTATCACAAGTAAAACCACCAACACTGTTGTGATTTCCAAGTATTTTTCTTATGAATTATTAATGCTTTTTTGAGTATATAGTATAGATTCTACAATGCTTACCCGTTACCCGGATTTTTTAATCAAGTACCGTAAACCTCCGACTATAAGCCCTGGGCTTATATACTTTCGTAAGCGATTTTTGATGGGCTTATGAAGACAAGCTCAGCATAGTTGACTCAAGAATCGGGTTAGCGTAGTACAAAGTATAATGAAAGACGGGTTAGAACGGGTTAGCATTTCTTATATCAAAATGCGCTTTAAAATTACCCTGTGCCAAAACTTTCTGCATCAATATGCGTTTTGAACCTTTCTAAGTCGATCTATAACGAACATTTTTTTTCGATTTTCCCAACATTTTCTAAGTCTGACTTTGGTTTATAAAGGCAGCACTTGTCTTGCGATAGTAACTTCTAGTTTTAGTTGACTCGATCCACGTCGATCCACGAAACCGGCGAACGGTTAAGCGTAGTAGAAAGTATATTAAAACACGGCTAAGCATTTTTATATCAAAATGCGCATTAAAATTCCCCTGTATAAAACACGGGCGGTGAAACAGAGATAGCGCCCCTGATCTTTGTGTGATGCGCGTACCCCCCGTATACATTAATTTAATGTCAATAAAAATGGAATTGGAATGTTAATTTAATGTCAATAAAAATGGAAATGGATGCAAAAACGAGCTGAAAAAACTAAAGTAAAAAATGTTTTCTGCACATTCCTAAACAACTTGATGGTTTGAAGACATTGTTGGATTCATTTTCTGTATATCTGATGAAGGAAAGAGGGCTTTAAAGATTCATCATGAGCGAAATAAAAATTTGAAAAGGAATCGAGCTGATCGAATGTGGGCACATTCCAAAAATATTATACGAAAAATTTGGTATGAAATGGGATATTTTACTTCATAATGCGAAGGTAGGATAAACATTTTCACAGTAAGAATATTCTGACATTGCTTGGCTATTATTTTTCAATAATTATATAGCCCAAAATTGACCATGCATGCATTTAAAACAGCTAGAATTTGAAAAAAAACAACTACAATTTGCTCGAACAATTTGAAAACTTTAAGATACAACCGTTTTTGTGTTAACCATGAGCCGGCCTGCTCGAAATCCATTGAAAGTTTATTGCAAAGTGTTTTTTACTAATTGATTTGACTTCTATTATTGGTATAACTATTTGCCGCCGACACTCCAAAAATATTCAGCGTGAATCTTTTTTAGTGCGACAGGACCAGCGGACTGGACTCACTGGAGTCGTTGACATTACACAGACAGTGTTACGGAAAACTATAAAGGCTGCAAGATATATCGGTTTTATGAAAAAGCACAAAAAAGCACAGTTCAATGTTACTTGAGACATAAAGCCAATTTAAATGTCTATAGTTTGGTGTGTTCAAATTTATCTCAATCTATCTCAACGAGGAGAAAACACTATTTTAAACACGTCCGCGCTTTGACAAGAAAGAAAAAATGTCGTCAAAATCGAGTTCAAAATGCATGTCTTTTCCTCAACAATCGCTTTATTCATTTTGCAAGTGAAATAGTCAAATAGATACCAATTTCAGCAATATAAGCTGATACTAGATACTTCAATAAACATTTATAGTATGTATTTGAGGCAGGAAGTGATTTCGTTTAATTAAAAATGGAAAATTTGTGTTGTTTAAATATCGACTTATCGTCTTATCTCCATAAATGGTATATAAGTAGTTGCGGAATTGTCGTGTGGAGTATACGGAAAACTATAAAGGCTGCAAGATATCTCTGTTTTATGAAAAAAGCACAAAAAAGCACCGTTCAATTTTACTTGAGACATAAAGCCAAGTTAAATGTCTATTGTTTGGTGTGTTCAAATTTATCTCAACCTATCTCAACGAGGAGAAAACACTATTTTAAACACGACCGCGCTTTAAATTTCGCAAATATTTTTATCGCTCGGGTAAAATTTTTGCCCTGATATTTTCTTTCAACGAGTGTTCAGTAACAAACAACACAAGCTATTACATATGATATAACTTATTAAATAATATTTCAAATTGTAATTAACGAAACATAATTACTTAGCATTTAAATCCTTTGTTTTCTCGATTGCTTGGTTACATTTTTTTGTTGCCATTGGATCTTGTACGGGATTTTCTGAAATGTTTTAGACCAAGCGCGCTCGCGCCAATCCTAATGTACATCACACGCAGCACGGTCATTTATTAGCGCGTTTCCCCGCCCGTGTTTTATAGCGCACTGCCTGTACCAAAACTTTCTGCATCAATATGCGTTTTGAATCTTTCTCAGTCGGTCTATAACAATTTTTTTTCATTTTACCCAAAATGAGATTCATCTCTTGAGATGAGCAGGTCACAACAATGAACTTGTGTTTTTAATTTTACCAGAATTACAAGTCGTCCACTGATGGCTTAGTGGTATGTCGTTTGGCCTGCCTTGATAAACCTTTGAGTTCAAATCCAGTTGAACTCATGTTTTGTAGCAGACTCACAATATTTTTTCCCTTTATTTATTCTGACTATTTTATATTCTTTTTATACCTCTATGTGCAAAATCCGTTTACAAGTATAAGAAATTATTGCCATGTTGAAACTGGCTCGAAAAGATTAAGTTAATCATTCCATATTGTCTAATTTCGCAAGGATTTAACGCGGCACTTGCCGTTCGATAGTAACCTCTAGTTTTAGTTGACTCTATCACGAAGCCGGCGAACGGCTAAGCGTAGTAGAAAGTATATTAAAACACGGCTAAGCACGGCTAAACGTTTTGCATCAATATGCGTTTTGAACATTTCTAAGTTGATCTAAACCGAAAAATGGCCCGAAATTTTCTAAGTTTGACTTTGGTTTAAAACCGCAGCACTTGCCTTGCGATAGTAACTTATATAGTTTATAGTCGAGTCGATGCACGAAGACGGCGAACGGCTAAGCCAGTAGAAAGTATATTAAAACACAGCTAAGCACGGCTAAGCACTTTTTATATCAAAATACGCATTAAAATTGCCCTGTACCAATATTTTTTGCATCAATAAGTGTTTTGAACATTTCTAAGTCGATCTAAACCGAAAAATGGCCCGAAATTTATTAAATTTGACTTTAGTTTAAAAGGCAGCACTTGCCTTGCGATAGTAACTTCTAGTTTATAGTTGAGTCGATGCACGAAGGCGGCGAACGGCTAAGCTAGTAGAAAGTATATTAAAACACGGCTAAGGACGGCTAAGCACTTTTTATATCAAAATACTCATTAAAATTGCCCTGTACCAAAACTTTTTGCATCAATAAATGTTTTGAACATTTCTAAGTCGATCTAAATCGAAAAATGGCCCGAAATTTTCTAAATTTGATTTGGTTCAAAAGGCAGCACTTGCCTTGCGATGGTAACTTCTGGTTTTAATTCACACGATCCACGTCGATCCACGAAGCCGGCGAACGGTTAAGCGTAGTAGAAAGTATATTAAAACACGGCTAAGCACGGCTAAGCATTATTTATTTATAAATGCGCATTAAAATTCCCCTCTGCCAAAACTTTCTGCATCAATATCCGTTTTGAACCTTTCTCTGTCGGTCTATAACATTTTTTTTTTCATTTTGCCCGAAATGAGATTCACTTCATGAGATGAGCAGGTCACAACAATGTACTTGTGTTTTTAATTTTCCCAGAATTACAAATTGTCCACTGATGGCTTAGTGGTATGTCGTTTAGCCTGTCTCGATAAGCATTTGAGTTCAAATCCAGTTGAACTCATGTTTAGTAGCAGACTCACAATATTTTTTTCCCTTTATTTATTCTGACTATTTTTTATTCTTTTTATACCTCTATGTGCAAAATCCGTTTACAAGTATAAGAAAATATTGCCATGTTGAAACTGGCTCGAAAAGATTAAGTTAATCATTCCATATTGTCTAATTTTGCAAGGATTTGACGCGGCACTTGCCGTTCGATAGTAACTTCTAGTTTTAGTTGACTCTATCACGAAGCCGGCGAACGGGGAAGCGTAGTAGAAAGTATATTAAAACACGGCTAAGGACGGCTAAGCATTTTTTATATCAAAATACGCATTAAAATTGCACTGTACCAAAACTTTTTGCATCAATAAGTGTTTTGAACATTTCTAAGTCGATCTAAAGCGAAAAATGGCCCTAAATTGTCTAAATTTGACTTTGGTTTAAAAGGCAGCACTTACCTTGCGATAGTAACTTCTAGTTTATAGTTGAGTCGATGCACGAAGCCGGCGAACGGCTAAGCTAGTAGAAAGTATATTAAAACACGGCTAAGGACGGCTAAGCATTTTTTATATCAAAATACTCATTCAAATTGCCCTGTACTGAAACTTTTTGCATCAATAAGTGTTTTGAAAATTTCTAAGTCGATCTAAACCGAAAAATGGGCCGTAATTTTCTAAATTTGACTTTGGTTTAAAAGGCAGCACTTGCCTTGCGATGGTAACTTCTAGTTTTAATTGACACGATCCACGTCGATCCACGAAGCCGGCGAACGGCTAAGCGTAGTAGAAAGTATATTAAAACACGGCTAAGCACGGCTAAACATTATTTATTTATAAATGCGCATTAAAATTCCCCTGTGCCAAAACTTTCTGCAGCAATATCCGTTTTGGGCGTTTCTCTGTCGGTCTATAACAATTTTTTTTTCATTTTGCCCGAAATAAGATTCACATCATGAGATGAGCAGGTCACAACAATGTACTTGTGTTTTTTAATTTTACCAGAATTACAAATTGTCCACTGATAGCTTAGTGGTATGTCGTTTAGCCTGTCTCGATAAGCATGTGAATTCAAATCCAGTTGAACTCATGTTTTGTAGCAGACTCACAATATTTTTTGGTTAGCATTTCTTATATCAAAATGCGCTTTGAAATTCCCCTGTGCCAAAACTTTCTGCACCAATAGGCAGTTCTGACCCTTCCTAAGTCGATTTATATAAAAAAATGTTTGTAAGTCAAACTTTGGTGGAAATTTTCCAAATGAAACTCAGCCT